TATATATATATATATATATATATATATATAATAATAATAATAAATAAATTTAAATTTTGTTTGAAATATGTAATAAAAAGTATGGAAAGGTTAATAAAAAATAAAAAGTATACGAATTAGTTACGGTTCTGAGAAGTGTGAAAAAGTTGTGCGGTAGATAAACTTTGACCCTTTAATACGATTGTTTTATTTTTCGCTTTCTGGTTATCCAAATATAATTTCTTTTTTTATGTTATTTAGCAGAAATAGAATCCATGTTATTTCATGAATATGTATAAGAAAAAAAGTTAATTAAAAATGTTATAAGATTGTTATATGAGGTTATATTGGATGATTCAAAATAAATATGTGAACTTACAATTAATGACCATCTTCAATCAAAACATCCAAAAAATACGGTTTAAAAATTTCTTTTTAAATTCATTAATAAAACCATAATTCAACCATCATCATATAGAAAAATCCATAAATCTTGTATCTCAAAAACATTATATCGAATACTGTATCAAAATCATGTAAAATTTTCAGAGTCAATCTTCCAGGCTAGAAAGTTGTGGTGTGTGTCATGCGATCATCCCGAAAACCTTCCCTTTGCTACCTGAAGTAACTGAAACTAAACTGAAAATTGTAAGCACGAAGCTTAGTGAGTCCCCCAAGCCACCACACACCATACACATAATCACATATTGGGCCTAGCCCACTGCCTCGGGCCCCGCCCGACATCGGACAAATCCAACATTGGGCCCTGCCCGGCATCGGACCGAGGTCCGGCATAACTTGGGCCTAGCCCCTGCATCGGGCCCCGCCCGACATCAGAACGAAGTCTGGTATACATATCATATCAACAAGCATATCATAAACATAAACATAAAAATAAACATGAAAGCTAACATTCCTCGGGCTTGCCCCGGCATCGGACCAAAGTCCGGAACACATAATCAGATACATGCAAGAATCACGAAGACATCAAGCATACTAACTTCCTCGAGCTTGCCCCGACATCAGACCGAAGTCCGGAACATAAAATTTACATTGGGCTAACCCCGACACATATAATCACACATAAACGGGCCGACCTTGGTGCGTTAGACCCGTTCCAATAGGAGAAGACTCACCTCTCAAACTGAATGTTGAACTCGTGCGTGAGGAATCTCTGCTGGCTGCTCCCACGACTCCCCAGCTAACTCTATATAATAACACTTTGTCAAAATCTGATAATCTTCTTAGGGTAAAATGACCATTTTACCCCTTGGTCTCACTTGGTCCATATCTAAGGTCCAAGACCATAATACAAAAGGCCCCACACTAGGTAGGCTTCCCAATCCCACTAGTGGCCTAATTTGCTAAATTGGGCCAATTCCCTCTAATGGGCCTTACGCTAAGCCCAAACATATTCTTGGCCCAAATTATCTGACTTCTGATGGCCCACTAAGGCCCAAAGTCCAAAGTATGGGCCAAAACGAGGCCCAAAACACGCCAAACTCATATCTGTTGAGTACGCGGGGCGTACTCTTCTGTACGCTAAGCGTACTGGCTAATTGGCGTGTATACTGCGCGTACCTGCATGTACGCCCAACGTACTTCCCTGTTAAGTCACTTTTCCATTAAGTGCTTAATACTCTAATCCAAAGGCTAATATATTGACATTATAATATTTAGTCATTTTGTATATTTATGAAACTTAAAATTTAAAAAGTAAATAATAAAAAACAAAACATGTAAATTTTTGGTACGTCGAAGAATGAACGGAATCAAATATGATTTCAGTTTTAATTTTTTGAGATGATTAGCACCACTGATTTATTGGCTAAATTTTTTGATTTAAAATTAAAATTAACTACATGATTTATTTTTCCTGATTTTATGGGATAATTCATTAGTTTCTAATTGAATTTGGTATTTTCTAGTGTTAGTAAAAATTTAAAAGATTATGATAAGAAAAAATTAAAAGGATCCGTCAAATTTGAAAGCAATATTTGAAATCGATAAAAATGGAAATGCAATCAAAATATTAATGTCTTTGAAATCAATAAATCAACAAAAGGGAAATGAAATCAAAATTTTAATGCATTTTTAAATGAAAACCGAAATTGGAGGAAAACTCTCATATGATGACAAGTGGCATATACTGACATGGAAGACACTGGAGCTGACACGTATACAATGTGAACTATTTTATTATTAGTAATAAAGGTAGATTACTGTAATTAGAAAAACCATAAAAAAAAACTATCATTAAAGGTAAATTGGCCGTTTTAATCTTATCAGTGTCCAAATCCCAAACAAAACAAAGATAATCTTTATGTCCGAGTTATAAGAAATGGAAACGAAACACGAAGCTTACCCCTAATCATTAAAATGATTCATATACTTTACTCTAATATATAAATTTTATTCATATCTATCTTCCTCCTCATTGTGTATTATGAGAAGTTAAAATCAATAAAAATGATTAATATAAAAAATTAATGGATTTCAATCATCGTTGTTTTCTATGAATAAAAAATAAATAAAAGCTAAAAAAATATTTAATTTCTCATACTAAAAATAAAACTAGAAGATTTATTTAATTTCTCATGACATTTTTAATATATTATTCTCTCTACTACGAAAAACGAATTCTCATTGTAGTTTGGAAATATTCTTTGAGCCACAAAAAGACTACATACTCCATTTGCCTAAAGAGGTAATACACACTTCTCAATACACGTACATAAAGCATAATATACAATAACTGATACACATTGTACAACAAACAATGCTTTTAAAATCAACTTACACGAAAGACCTTTTACACTTTGCCAACGGCTTGGATGTCTCAAAAACACAAAAACAAAAATAATAAAAAAATCTACACTCTTTTCCAAGGCTAAAATTATCAAATCCAAGCGAAATTCCACTTTAAAAGAATCGAGTACAATCTAGTATAAAATGTTTACTCTGGTTATAACAGTTCTAGCTCTGGAAAAAGAGCATTAAAAGTCAGCGACAAAAAACGCGTATAATCTCATCACAATAGCATCAGCAAGCAATAACTCCAATTTTCAAAAGTCAACCCCCGCTGGCAACGGTGGTTGTTGTGGAGGCCACGTTATTTGACAACCACGAAAAGGCGCACCCGTCTTTGACGTGGAAAAGCTGTCTCCGGTGGCTGGGCCGATCAGCTCATCTAATCCGTCAAATATATCATCGTCGATGACCACGCCGGCGGCGTCGAAGTTGTTATCGTCGTCGGTGTCATCTCTCTCAATTTCTTCCATCTTCTCCGTCGTGGGAGAAACCGGCGAAGTGGGTGTATGTTTGTTTATATTGTCATCGTCGCTGGAGGTGGTGGGTTTGTTGCGGGAGCTGCCGGCTAACGAGTTCCGTTGAGTCGGCGTTGGGTGGCTGTGTTCGCCGGTATACGTGATGATCAACATACCCGGGTCGGATCTATTCCGCTCAACTTGTTTTCGGGCCATACAGCCTTTTGAAGTGCTACATCTATAATATCCTCTGTTTATATATAAAAAAAAATCAGCAATTAAATCAAAGAAAAATCGATAATTATGGATGAAAAACCTGAAAGTTATATATTTGAAGCAGAATAATTTTTTTTAAATAAAAGATTTATTAAAAAATACAAATAATTTAACAAAAATACAAACCTTGGATATGGAGAGCCTTTGATGGGTTTTTGACCATATTTTCTCCAAGACCACAAATCAGAAGATGATCCTTCAGCAGGCACTTGGCAAACCTTTTTAATCTGATTTTTCCTGTAAATATAATATATTATCAGATTCTTTCAAAAGAATAATTATTTATATTTATTATTCTGACAATTAATTCAGGGGAAATCCATTTAATCAAAAATAGCTCAAGTGACTACATGTGGGTGTCTCCTAGATTCATATTCTTCATATCCATACCCTCTAAAACGGAAAAATAAATAATTTTCATAAATCAATAAGTTAACAAAACCCCACAATAATCGATCCACATGAAATTCAAAAAAGCAATGTTTTTTATTTTTTTCCTAATACCTTTTCTTGAACTTTGTTGTACCCTGTGCATGAGAATTTGTACATCTAGTTATGCTTAAAGATTGTTGCTTTCCCTGAAACTGTTTCTCTTGCTGCTGGTGGTGGTAGTGGTGGTATGGTGGATCTGGAAGTCCTCCAAGAACAGAAAGGGGTGAGATTGGGAAGTTCTGAGGAGACGGAGGTGGTTTTTGTAGATTTGAAAAGTGGAGGGGGTTGTAAAGATTATTCAAGAACTGTTCGATACTGTTCTCATTTCTTGGTTGAAATAGATCTGAGGAAAACCCCATGAGATTTTCACCGTAAAAAGTTGGCTTTTGTTGATTGTAAGCATCCACAGGCCAATTTGGAGTGGCGGCGGCGGTGGTGGTGGTGGTGGTGGAAGCGGAGGAGGAGACGGCGGAGTAACAGCCTCTGACCACCGCGTGAAGGTCCCAATCAGCATCCATGTCGAGAGGAAATAGCGGACAAATGAAGGCGCTGACTTTTGATAGTGAGAGAAAGGCAAGGTTTGTAAGATGATATATTGGGTGTGGAAATGGAAAAGGGATACATTTTGCTTTAATTATTATTATTATTATTATAAAAAAGTAATACAATAAAATAACATTTTGTTATTATCTTAAAGTAGGTACAACTTTTTTTGTTGGTTTATTCACAATTATGAAGGTAAATGGTTTTAGTAATTAATTACTTTATATATATATATATTAAATTGTGCAATTAATATGTCAAGGTCTCTACAAACCAATCTTGAAAAGTTTATATTTTGAATATTTGGCATTCTTTAACATATTAATGTTACTTATACAACATTATTAACATACTTTTGTATGCAAAATACATTTATTGCTTTTGTTAAGAATAATTTAATTTATTACTGATAAACAAACATCCTCATTACAAATATGTTTATTATATTCATAACGTTTTGACTTTTTCTGATACATGATATTGTATTTAATTTAATCAAGTACTTTTTTTTTAAATATAGGGGATGTGTGTAGTTTAATTTTATAGTATGAAAGGAGAAGCGTGTATATGTGCGAGAGAGGCAGCTGGCCTTTCACAAGGATTCTGGATAACAAACAAGGGTTTGGATTTCTTTTGCTTTATTATCCCTTTACTCAGAAATAATATTGTGGTCCAAAAGTTTCATACATGTTGCAAATCGACACGTTCTTTTCATTTTTCTCAACTCGACACATAAAGTTAATATGCAAATTTACACTCTTGCATAATTAATAAAACATAATGTATAGTAATTTATGCAAAACATCACACAATAACTATTTTTTAAACGAAAGATCATATTATAAATAAAAATGCCGAAGCTAGCAAGAAGCTAATATTTTATAACAATTCATTTCATGAGGAGCCATTTAATTTAATTATTATACTAGTGGTAAATATTTTGCACTTTTTATTAAATTATATAATCTATTTATGAAGGAATACAATACCAGCTGTATATTTCACTAAAAAAAATGTTTGATAGATAAAAGAAACATTAAATAAAAGGGATAATGACTTAAAAAGGTAATTAAGTTTAAAAAATGTACAAAAAAGATCATTGTCTTTTTTTTAGTACACAAAATACCATTTTACCAGCAATTGTAGGTTACCCGGTTTCCAAATGTTCAAAAAATATCATTGTTGTTTTTTTAGTACAAAAAATATCATTAATGTTACTATTTGTACACGGAATACCAACGAAGTACATGTGTGTTCAAATAAAACATTGTGGTAACCAGGTATTTCAAGTAAATGAAAAAATGACTTAAAAGTGTAACGAAGTTTCCAAAATGTTCCAAAAATACCACACTTTTTGCTAACTGCGTTGTTCTCGGATTATGTAGAACACAATCACCGGAGATCATGAACCGTCACATCAGTTCACAACAATTGTGCAAATCTCTTTCATTTCTTCACTCGATCGTTCTTGTGGTAACAAGAGAAGTAAGTGGGTAATAACCTTAGTTAAACATTCTTGCTTCCCGATTACATTTATGCCTCAAACCTAAAACATATATATGTTATATAGATGCACATATTATACATCAAGGCTAGTCGTTCATTAGTGTTGCAGCACAAAAGAGACACAAATGAGAAACGAGTGTGACGTTATGTCATGAGAATTCCTAAATATGGATTTAGATACAAACTTTTTTTCTAAAAATTCGATTAATAAAGTTTAATACATATCGATGGAAGGCAAACGGACAACAAGCTGCGCCGCAAGCCCTTTCTGGATGGCAAAACTAATTCTCCGATGACCGTGTTCTATATAATCCGGAAACAACGAACTTAACAAAATGTGCTCTGAAAAAATAACAATGGTTTTTTTTTTGAACATTTTGGAAATTTCAATGGTATTTTTTGTATTAAAATATGTATTTCGTTGGTATTTTGTGTATAAATGATATACTTCAAGGGTATTTTTATACTAAAAAAATAATGGTATTTTTTGACTATTTTGGAAATTTTGTTACCTTTTTAAGACATTTTTTGTTTACCTGAGATAGTCGGTTACCACAAGGTTTTATTTGAACACATGTGTACTTCGTTGGTATTTTGTATACAAAAAATATATTTTAATAGTATTTTATGTACTAAAAAAAAGACAATGGTCTATTTTTAAAACTTTGTTACCTTTTAAGTTATTATCCCTAAATAAAACAATGAGAAGATGAAGTAGTGAAAACTTTTTGTGAATTTTTAGGAAAAACTCTTAAAACCAAAACAATGTAAACCGAATTGCAATATATGAAAATGTAATTTCCAGTTCTTTATACAGTTGGAGGGTGATTGACTTTTGTAAATGTCAAAGGGATTTTTATTATCAAACAAAAGGAAAAGGTCAGAACGGTCCCTTGGTACTTTGACAAGCTTTCGCTCTTTTGTCACATTGTGATGCGTGAACGATGAGCATTTTAGTAATTTTTTATTTTGGCACTTGCCGACAAATAATAAAAATAAAATTAACAAAAATAAGACAAAAAGGGCACCTTGTCTCCGAAGCCGTATGTTATACTGTTTGTTTTAAGCGCGTGCCGTACAATTTTGGATCTCTCTAATTAATTAATTAATTATTGCATTAATTCCCCTTGATTTGAATATTACAATTTTTAATTTTAATTTTGAGGAAAAAAATGAGTATGTCTAATTTTATTATTTACTTTCAATATTAGTTTCTTTTTAATGGAGAAAAATGTATATATGAAAAACCACACCATCAAGATGCTAAGGCCTTCTGGTATGGTGGCCACGAACCACGATTGTACACACCATCCCTATGTCTCGTCGTGGGTCGTGGTCGTGGACCTTCGTGCTCCGGACAATGAATTGCAACGCTAAATCAATTCATTTCCTGCTTCAATCATCCTTTGACCTCTAATAGCTACTTTCATTTTTTTTTCAATATTTACCTATAAATATCACTACTCATCTTCTTAATTTTCACACATATTTCTTTTCCTCCCTTTAGTCATATTCATACGTTTTTGTTGTTCGATCTTTTAAAAACCATGGCTTCCAAAAATAAGAAATGATCAGAAGAGGAAGAAGAGAAATTAACACAAGCATGGGTGACGGTTTCGGAAGAAGGCGTTGGTCAAATGTCTGGTTCTTTTTGGAGAAATGTTGAAGGTGTTTTCCATGGTTTAATGGGTTGTTGAATTCGAAATGTTGATGAAATATTCTCGAAGTGGCGCGATATGAGGGTCAAATGTTGTGAGTTCAATGGAATTTACAACTTTGTTATAAACAACGTACATAAGGCCGATATCGATCCGGTTAATGTAGTCATGGAGCAATATGAAAACACAAATCATAAACGTTTTAGACATGTCAAAGCTTCACAAAAGTTGAAGAATACCCCAAAATGGAATAACCTTGCTTAAAACACAAATCATAAGTTTGGTATTTTTAGGTTTTTTATTTTGAATGTTATTATTTTTTTTAATTAACGTATTTTTTATTTTAATGTTATTTTAATTAGTGTAGTTTTTATTTAATGTAATTTGGTATTTTAAATTAATAAAAAAACTATTATTTAAAAAATTATATGATTTTTATGTATTTTTTATTTAAATTTAATTAAAAAATGAGGTGAAGTGGTGTGTTTAGTAGTAGGTATCTCGTATGTTTAATGGTGATGATGTGGCATGCATCCACCACTATAGTGGTTAGTGATGGGTATAACGGATGGTCTAAGAGCAGCTCCAACTATCCGACAAAAATCATCATTTTTGTGCTTTGCAGGTCAAGAATCCACCAATCAGCTTTCAAATTTAACACAATTTTTTTTTGTTGACTTCCTTTTAACACTAAATATGAATGTCAATTATGAAGGCATCTAAAAACATCATTTTAGAGGTTTGTTGGAATTGAATCATCATTTTGGTGTTAAACAATCACTGTTTTAGTGTTATATGGTAAGAGAAGCTCTAAAGGCAATGCCAAAATTTAAAAAAAAACATTACAAAAGGAGTTAACATGTGATCACCAATCTAATGAAATCGATTTTGCTGTTTTTGATCCATATATAAATATTCACATTTTATCTCATTGATCACCCGAGTAGTAAAAGCAATGGAATTGGTAAATATCTTATCATTTCTACTATGTCAAATAAATCATATATTAGCTAGAACACATGAATCCTTTAGCAATGGTGGGAAATGTTATAAGTCCTTTATGTGATGGAAAACTATTGACTCATCTAGGATCGGTCCATTGATTTTGAAGGCTACATACGAAAAGTAAAAACATGCCTCCTAAATCCCTAAATACAAGTTTTTTTTAGAGACTAAAAAAAGAAAAAGAAAATAGGGAACATTAATGGAATATAGATTAGATTAAAGGGATAATGACTTAAAAGGGTAATATATTTTTCGATTTGTACACATTTGGTGACTGAGTTTTTTTTTCGTCCACATTTACCCCTTCAACTTGTTAAACTGTATACATTTGGTCCTTATGACCAGCTACTCCAGGTTACCCGGTAAAAATGACTTAATAGGGAAATATATTTCTCACTTTGTACACATTTAGTCCTTGATATTTTTGTACACATTTAGTCCTTCATTTTTTTTTTGCAAATTAACTCATTTTTTTTGTAATCATTCAGTATGATTTCTTTAGGTTTTTCTCACGGAATCTTACGTGAGATATTCATTAATGATGTGTATGTGGTTTTTGATGCTTATATCCATCGCGATCTCGACTACCTGGTTGCTTAGGTCATGTGTTTTGAAGGTCATAACTTCTTCATATCATTCAGATTTTAACGATCTTTATATTCACGTGTTCGTATTCTAGTCTACTAGTCTACTACAACTTTCATTTAGATTACACCCATTAAAAAATAATATATTTTTACCTACGATTTTTATATCCATACGCGGAGGCGGATTTAGTATAGTCCCGGTGCTGCACCGATAGCACCTGTTTTTTCTGTTCGCAGTGGAAAAATTTTCGATTTTTTTCGTTTATATCTATTTTTCATGTATCGGCAACACATATTTCATCTCGGCAACACCTATTATGTATTCCTGCCCCTTTCCATACGTTTTTTATTATTGCATGTATGCGTGTTTTTTTTATAAAATCGTAAGTAAAAATATATTACATTTTAACGAGAGTAATCTTAATGAAAGTTGTAGTAGACTCAAAAAATGAACACATGGATATAAAGATCGTTAAAATATGATATTGTATGAAGAAGTTACGATGTTCAAAATACAAGACACAAGCCAAACCACAAGACCTACGCAAACAGTCAGTCGAGATCGTGTTGGACATAAGCATCAACAACCTCAAACACTTCATCAATGATTGTCCCATGTAAGATGTCGTGAGAAAAACCTAAAGAAATCATTTATAAGTACTGAATGAGTACAAAAAATGACTTATTTTGAAACAAAAAAAATGTTAAGGACTAAATATGTACAAAAATATTAAGGACTAAATGTGTACAAAATAAAAAATATATTACCCTATTAAGTCCTTTTTTCTCGGCTAACCTGGAGTAACCGGTCATAAGGACTGAATGTGTACAGTTTAACAAGTTGAAAGGGTAAATGTGGACGAAAAAAAAACTCAGTGACCAAATGTGTGCAAATCGAAAAATTCATTACCCTTTCAAGTCATTATCCCTAGATTAAACCAATATGTGATGAAAAACAAATGACGCGTCTAGGCCATCCATTGATTTTGAAGGTCGCATGTAAAAAGTAAAACCATGCCGCCTAAATCCCTAAATACAAGTTTTAATACAACAGAAAAAACAAATAGGAAACATGAATAAAAAAATAGGTTAGATTAAATCAAAGGGAAGCACCCAAGCCATTTCAGTTAAACTATGTATATTGACTCAAGAAAATACATTCCGCATATATCTTCAGATTAAAATACAAATTAACCAAATTTCGGGCCTTGATTTTTTGGGACCCCTATGTGGTCGTACATCCTACATACCCTCGAGGCGAGCCCTATACCACCTTTGTTACACTTCAAACCTCCATATTACACCCACTCCATATACGTTGTCAAATAATACTTGTAAATCTGCATGTAATAATAATAATGTGATCCACCATGTGATAAGAATATGATCTATTATTTTTCTTCCTCATCACAAGCATCACAAAAGGTTGTGTTAAGTGTTACCCCACACCTGGAAAATGCAACTTTTGAAATGATTTTATTTAATGTAGCATGCCATCCAAAGAATTTGAGTTTAAGGGGTAGCTAATGTGCACAATTGTACCTACTAGTCTTAAATTTATAACCTAGCTTAATTTGCTAATTATGAACTTATAAGCAGTGTACCTAGTCAGATTATAGAATAGTTCAGGTAAGTCGGGTGTCGATCACAGGGAACGGTGAAGGTTTGTATCGATCGGATACACTTCAAGTATAAAGACGAAAGAGAAACTTAGTCAACGAAAATAAAGAACATAAATTAAAAGACACATAGAATTCTCCAAATTTTTCTTTCACCAAGAAAGAGTTTTGTCTTCACTAAGAAGACAGTTTGTCATAAAGACGATTACGACACCAAGCCATATTGTACAACATTAGGGGTTTCCCTAATGTTGTATATATACTAATCTATACATATCAATCTCATGATTAAAAGGATTGTATCTAATCTATACTAAGAACCGATCTTATCACAAAGATACCAGATCTGTGATCTATTATATACCTATCTATATCATTACCTAATATACAAAAGATTACATAGAATAACTACGCTATATGCTGACGCTGATAAGCTTGGAACACTGGCGTTGTTGATGCGGTTGATGCTGACACTGACAGATAGTGTAGAGTGTTTGACTCATAAGATCATAAGGTGTGACCTTATAGTCCCCCTATCTAATGATGTCAAAACTAATCTTCTTCTTTAGAGTCATCGGAAGAGCCATTGTAGAACTTGTAAGCTTCTTTTAAGATTTCAGAATTGACCCATCTGAATTGATCAAGCTTAAGTTCAGCAAGTCTACTACTAAGATCCAGTGATATAAGCACACGATATCCTCTTTCCAGATCATAGTGCCTAATCCTTCCAAGCGAAGATGAAACAAATATTCAGTGGGAGCATAAGGAAGGTCATCAGTGCGTTGAAAGCACATATGATTCTAACTGTCAAGATAAAATATCTCATGCTCTGGTTCTAGAATGAACATATGTTGGACTGGTTCAAAACCCGCTGGTAATTCATTGTTGATATACCGATTTCTATAAGGAAGAAGAAACTTGGTGTTTTTGGATTGTCTGAGAGCACCTGTTCCGCCTAAGGAGGATGGTACTGATTTACCAGCCGATGATGGACCAATTGATGGCATAAGGCTTAGCTTCTTGACTTTGTTGAGTAGCTGTTGTATTGCCAACTTCACTTCATCCACTCACTGTAGCCAAATTTGACTAGTTCACGAGCAAAAACAACTTCATTGTATTCATATTATGTTTTCTTTCTAACCAAGTGAAGCTTTAGGGACTCGTTTCTTGGTTTGGTGCATCTCACTTTGATAATGGGATCATGCTTTGACCTGTGAGTAAGAACATCTCCAAACTTCTTCCTATAAATCTGGTCATTCAGGTCTGAAACAATGTGTTATTTCTCCACATTATTATTGAATATTTTTTGACCTGATTATCAGTGCTTTGAACATTAGCACTCTCATCAGAAGAAACAAGAGCTTGAGCAAGTTTGGCAGACAAACATTCTTGTTTTCTTGCTTGTTTCTTTTGTCGGATGGCAACATTATATTCAAACATAATTTCTCTAACTTCCTCAAGGGGTAACCTCCATGTTTCTTGCCAGTTCATTTAGATCAAAGATGAGTTTGCTTTTCTTTTTAGGAGGAGATGTTGAAGGATCACTAGCAGCAGCAACAGAAGAGCTTCCAGCTTCAACATCATGACCTTCCCCTGAGAAGGAAGCCTTTATCTTTCGATGATTGAGCAGATCATTGTCAGAGTCAATATCACTATCAGTTCCTTGAGGAACCTCTTGAAAACTATCCTCCTCAAAGTAAGATCCAGGGTAGACAACATTTAAAGGAACAGTAGAGACAACAGCTTGTGGCATGAAACCAAGATCAAGAAACCCCTCAAATTCATCGGTCTCTGATTGGTCACCAGTGTCTGGAATGGGCTGATCATTTGTTGTATCAACATCTGAAACATCAATATGCTTTTGAGGATCAGCTTCAGCTTCAACCCTTCCAGTCATCTCAGGCTGAGATGGAGTTTGTACAATCACCACCTGCATTTGTATTAGCTGAGGATCCTCTTGATTATTCTCTCCCTTTTTGGAAACATCAGATTAGGGAGGAGAGTTAGGAGGTAGTGGAGGAGTTATAGGAGGAGGATTAGATGGTGGAGGAGGTGGTGAAGGAAGATTTGTTGATGGAGATGGAGGTGGAGGAGGGCTCTTCCTTGGAAAATTTGGTGGAATACCATCAACAACCATATCATCATCATCATCCAAGGCCATAAGTCTCTTTATTGTACCCACATCCCTTTCAAATTTAGTCAACCTTTTATTCATTGACTGAGTTAACTGAACAACTAAGGAAAGTTGAGAAAGCACAACAGTTTCAAAGTTGGAGCTGGATTCTCCCTGATTATCTTGATGAAAGGTAGCAGTCATGATAGGAACAGTCTCAGCTTGAGGAGGAGGACACTACAAATAAATTTACATTTAGTGGCACAAGATTTTAGTGGCATATTTTGTTTTGTGCCACTATATTACTCTTTTAGTGGCATACATATTTATTTGCCGTTATTGAAAATTCTAATTTTCATGTCCTGCTCCTAATTCCCTCCACGGTCATAGGCTTTCCGCTTTTTTTGGGTGAAATCAAATTAGCACAAAGGAATAGAGAACTCTTTTCTTCCTCACTGCCACTTCTCCAAGCTATCCCTCCTTTCTCTTTATCCTTATGATTACCGGAGCAACACCGTCTATCTACCTCAATAACACCACCGGAACACCACCCTATTCTTGTATAGATCAACCTGAAATCTCCAACATTTTCCCTAATACCACGGCTTTATATTCTACCATCGTATCTTATGGGTAAAATATTTCGGAGGTAAATCATGTATGTATGACTCATCGGATAGGATATATGGCATATAAAATGTGATTTATGGCATATAGGAGCTGTAGTTTATGGCATACCAGAGCAGATTTATAGGGTTTATGTTATTCCCGCATACGAAGAACACGAATAGTAATCAGGTACACATTCTTGAACTGTTTCACCCTCCTTCAACCACTCGAGCGGTCTCCTTTCTCTCTCTATCTCTCAAGTTCTTTCTCTATTGTGATTGTTGAACCTAACTCGGTTTTGGTATTTACGGATTAGGGTTTTGGTGTTTACAGATTGAGTTTTCATGGATCACGATTATAGAACCCTAACACATCACATTTCTCTCTCTCTATCTCTCTCTCTCTCTCTCTCTCTCTCTCTCTCTCCATCTCGATTATGGAACCCTAACCCTATTATCTTATGATGGATGAATAATCATTTGGGGAAGAAGAGGAACATGATTAAGGTGATGTTCATGATGGCTTCTTCCTGGTAAGTATGTAACTTCAAAATTGGTTTTCTGAATCGTTTGATTGATGGGTGAAATAGTCGTAAGTAACATTTGTTTTTCTTTTTTGTAGTCGTTTAAATACAATCAAAAGAAATTATACATATGAATTTTTGTTCCACCGGTACGATTGGCCCCAATGATCCTGATACAGATGATGATTTCAAACCCACAAATAAGCTTGACAATTCTCAACGTACCCTAAAAGATATTGTTAAGCTGGTTGGTGGTTGTTGTTGCTAAATTTACCATCAACCTCTATTTTCACTAATTTGTTTCCTTTTGATCTTATTCTTACATATGTTAATTGCAATATATAGGATGCGAAGGACAACTATGTTATGATTTACAGGAATCCAAAACAACACTATTATGCATTCAGCTCATTAGCAGTTGGAGTGTTGAGTGAATATCGTAAGTTCTCAAATCTTTGTAAAGAAAAAAAGAAAAAGGTAAATTCAGAAATATCTATTGTTCATGTAAACTGGCATTTGTAAAGAAAAAGGGTAAATTTGGAAATGTGAAAGTGGTAGTTTCTTCTACTTCCTTTTCCATTTGGATTGTTGAGGGTATTTTGGTAATTTTGAAGTGATGGTGGGGATTTTTGCAGGCGATCCTTTACACTCTATAAACATTTTTGAAGATCTTGAACTTAAGAGTGTTGTAAAAGATTTCAAGTAACAAATACAATTAAACGTGGTAGTTTTAACCCATTTATATATTTTACATCTAATAGTTCAATGAGTCAATTGGGCCAAAGGGTACGTACTCTTGCATTTCATCATATTATGGTTAATTCACATCTATGTAGTTGTAATATTTTATATTCTGTAATTTATCAAATTTTGATCTCCATTTGTTTCCATTACAGCTTATGGATACCAAAGCACAATTATTATATATCATCTACAAGTATATCAATGTAATTATGAGGTATTCATTCTTTTGCATCTGTAGCTAATTATGACAAAATGGTTTCCATATTCGCTAAATACTATTACCTTATATTGTTAGTCATTTTTGAACTTTTCATTAACAGGACAAGGAGTGGAATCTGTAGATCTTATCTCATGTTTTTGAGAGGGTTAGACACTAAATTTTGAAGACCTTTGTATGTGTATTTAAAATATTGAGAATATTGTTTGTTATATAAGTTTGAATTGATATAATGATATTTTATTATCTATTTATTATCTTAATTGTTTTATTATTATTTTCTATTCCATTAAAAAAACGGATCTAATTTATTAATATATTTTTTTTTGTGTTAAAAAAATGTCACCAAAAGCATTAAAATAGTATTTGATTTATTAGTGAAATAGTGGCATAAAAATAGTGTCACTAAAACCTACAAGTGCTTTAGTGACATAGTAGAAAAGTGCCACTAAAACCTAAGAAGGCTGCAGCGACACAACCAAAAAGTGCCACTAAAGGCCTTTGGTGGCAGCGCTTTTAGTGGCATTTTATTTTTGTGCCGCTGATTGCATAGGGGGCCTTTAGTGACACTTTTTCGGTTTTTAGTGGCACTTTTTCTATGCCACTAAATGTAATTTTATTTGTAGTGGGAGACACTGGTTTTAGAGAATTAACATCTTGAATCATTGGCTCAATAGTTTCCACAGTAGGAGGGGTTAACCCATATTGTGCAACATCATCAGCAAAGGAAGAGGATTAAGAGGTAATTGAAAAACGAATGTGCTTGTTCATCCTTGGAGGAGAGTTCATTTTCTAAGTGAAGTCTTCTCCCATATCAGTTGTTGAGTCTTATTCATCTTTTTCGATGTCTTCTTCCTCATCAACCCCTTCTTTATTATCAACTTCTAGATCACTATCATTCTCATAATCATCCTCACTATTCTATTCTTCATTGCGAGCATCATCATTATCATCACCATCATCTTCAGAGTCTGAGGATTCAACCACATAGGGTTTTTCAATCGACTTTTGCATCCTTGCAGTAATAGGCAAGTCACCCTGAGATGGAGTGACATTAGTAATTATTGAGGAAAGGGCAGGAATTGGAATGACAATCCCATGACTTTTAATATAGCCTTCTTTTCGAGACAAGATCAGACCAAGCCAACGAGGATAAGGAACATCCAATGACTTCTTGTTCTCAGTAATGTAGTCAACCATTTGAACATGAAAAAGTTGAGCAAAATTTAGTTTCTTGTTGTAAACAATAGAATATAAAATCCTTTGCCCAAAAAGATGCAATTGATCCAAACTTCCAGTCTTGTGACCAAGACATTTTCAAGTCACACATGTTAAGTACTTCCACCCTACATTAAAACACTGACGAAGAGTGTTCTTGTATGGATCACGAGTAAGACCCTGAAGATTGAAATTGTACCCTAATTTTTCACGAACATATTTGAAACTTTCTTCAGAGGGAATTTTAGAGTAACTTTCAAATCGAGGAAGAAGAAGAGCAGTTCGAAAGGATTCCACATCAATGGTAACCCTATATTGACCATATCCAATGGTTCCAGTGATGGTTCGAGCAACAGTATCAACAAAGCACGTATAGTAAAACTCACATACTTGTTTAGGGTAAAAAGGGTCCAGGAAGTCGCAGAATACATATCGAAAAGGACTGCTTTTGACATAGTCGACAAAATCTTCGATTTCCAAAAAGTTACTATTGAGACAAGGAAGTTACATCAGCGAGACAAATTATCAGCAACAATGAGTATCAGCTTAAGCGATCAGCGAATGAATTTACGATGATCGTATAGTTAGTTTATGATGTCTCCTGATAGTGTAGGCTAAAACTACCATTCACTGACATAGTATTATGAGATATCATCAGCGTGTGGTTTCATATGCTGAATCGTAAATCTCTTTTATTAGAAGAAAAATGGCAAGAGTGGATAGGTGCGTGTAATATATCACGGACAATGATATACCCATTGGCACATATTTATCAAGCTCTCTTCAGCATATGGTACATTAGGCTAAATCATAAAACTTTAAAGAAGAATATAAGGGCAAGAATGAATTGGTGCGTATGATAGCCTACGACATATAGACTAACCATCGGCATAGACTTTCGAACTTTTATCAGTGTGTGGTTTTACACAATGAATCATCAAATTATGTTTTAGAAGACTCGTGGAGAGAACGGATTGGTTTAGTTACGCTGAGGTCAAATCAATGTAAATCATTAACAGTTTAACTCATGAGCAAGAAGTGGTTTAAACTTCTGTATCATAGAGTAAGTTGTAATCTAGAATCAAAGATTCACCGTTAAATCATTATGGTACCATATCATACCTCGGACTAGGAGGTCAGGGACATGAACAACCCTTTGTCATTTAAGGACCAGACAAGTAACTCTTACATTGATGACTATGCAATCACGATAAGCCACTGGGTTTTGCTCAATGTTTCGCGGAACATGAGACTTGATGCGTATGGCAAACATGCTTCTAGGGACAAGTTCAAGTAAATATGATTAATTAAAAATAAACACTCGAACCTTTCTGTTAATTTTTTAATTGGACCCGGCAATCTCACTTAGAAAGTTTTGACAATGCTAGACATTCAGCGTGAGGGGGTGACTAAATGTTCTCAGCAGATGGTCTCGCTGATGAGAAACTTAAGAGAGATTTTGTCACATACAACAACATGCTTCTATGGAAAATGATGTGTCAAAAGTTGCATACTAGGCTTAAAGTTTCCACCATTAGATTCCCTTTTTTAAAAAAATGGTACATAATAAACAATATAAGAATACAAACAAAAAATTAGTCAAACAAAAAAATAGTTTAAATAGGGAAATATGTGCAGCTTTTTCAGAAATTAGATTAAGACTCATTCCATCAAATCTTTGGAATTGAATGGTCATAAATGATTTTCCATTTTTCAAGATATCTACCCCTTGAATATTTTGTTGGATTAGTGTCTAAGTCCATAACTATAATTGGTATATACTTGACCCGACTCGGAATGGTCGATTTGGGTTGCATGGCATTGGAACATTAGGATAGACCGTTTGTGAGGAGAGGACATTTGTGACATATTAATATATT